CCACTATCTCAAGGACTCTCAGGCCTGACTGGATGCAGTCAACACCAGCCCTGGCATCGCCAGTGGCCACTGTTGCCTGAGAAGACAACTCCGGGTTCTGTGCACAATAAACCCCTCATTCGGGTCCCTTCTGTCGTCTCCCTTCCAAAATAGGATTAGCTCTGATTATGGTGGCGCGCAGACAGGAGCACTTATTCTCACTGCTTTGCAACCACAAACTGACTCGAGCAATGGTCAAACGACTGGCTCCTTCTGTTTAATGTTACCAAATGTTACCAGAGGATGTATTATCTAAATCACACACCGCTACCAGAGCTAGAGGCCCAGAAGGATCCAGCCGTGTAGATTACGACCTCAGTGAGGTCATCATTACACTGCTTGAAAGTAGTTAAATTTTCAGTATCAAGCTAATATCTCATCAAGCGTACCTTTGCGAAGTCCGATGCCATTTTCTTTGGTAAGGTCTCCGGGATATTCGTACGACCACACTTAGAAGATGTCTGAAGACCATGAACTGTCAAAGACCGCAGCACCCTTGAGAAAGTAAGATCGACACCCAAATTTGTCAGCGGTCAAAGCAAACTACCTTACGAAACTCGGCTGCTTAGTCTTGACCTCTTTCTCCTGGACTAAAGGCAGCTACGTGGCGAATTACTTCCAGCGTTTCGTATGCTGCAGGGTCATGATTGTTGAATCGCATCCGGTGCATTCTTTGAGCCAGCCACCACTACTAGCTTGAGAGGATATCCTCTCAAAACACATGTGAATGGGGCAGACTAGACGCAAGGAGATTTCTCTTCAGCCACAGAGTGATTAAGGAATGAAATGATCTGCCTGTGGACGTCGTCATGTCCCTATCCGTGGACACATTTAAGAGGAAACTTGACCAGTATAGGGATATGTACCAGCACACCATCAGAAACTAACAAATTTCTCCCCCATATCATCGATTTCTGCGCAGGTGTCTCGACAGTAATGTGTTACCGACATGCGTTTCATACAAGCCACCGGTTAACACGGATTTGGCGAGACGAGCAGTATTTCAGCATGGCAGAAGTATGATCCGAGTGCTCCTCCAAGATTGCCACTCGAGACTTTGCAACTACCGTTAGAGGATTGATCAAGAAAAGACCAGATGTTATGAGCTCATGGGCGAGATCGGTACAAATCTGCTCCTGCAGAGGATAGCTGAACAAGCCCGCGAACAGAGAATGATACGCGACGCAGCACTGGAGAACAAATTCCGAAAGCTGCCCAATGCAACGTCGCCCAGAAACGACAAACAGGTGCACAACCTGTCAACAAAGGAGCTGACGAAGGATCAGATGCTGGTGTTACGCACGAAGCTTCATTCAACACGACTGACGTCAAACCTTTTAACATGATTGCAGCAGCGGAATCAATCCTTAGTCAGACGGAGGCAACGGAGGAGACTAAGAGTCCCATCCGACACCAAGTGTCGTCCCTCCTGATGGCCCACAGGCCGCGGGAAGTGCTTTCCAAGGTCGAAAATGATGCGCTTAGAGAACTCAAGGCCGACAAAGACCTGGTCATCGTGCCAGCGGATAAGGGACGTTCCACAGTTGTATTGGACAGGAAAGACTACATTCAAAAAGCCAAAGGTTTACTGGAGGACCGACAGTTCTATGTCCCATGTGCAACGAACCCTTTAAAGGCGCTGACACGCGAAATTAATGCTACGTTGTTGGCCTTGGAGAACTCAGGTCCGATAACACCGACCGACAGACGCATGGCGAGACCCCAAGATACGGCTTTGGCCCGATTCTATGGCCTCCCTAAGGTGCACAAAGACGGCGCTCCTCTCCGACCCATCGTGTCGCTCAAAGGGACTCCAACGTACGGACTGGCTAAGTGGCTGTTCCGGCGTCTCAAGTTACTGGCCGCTGAGTCAGACACCACGGTCTCTTCGTCAGCACAATTCCTGGAGAAACTCAAAGGGGTAAACCTCCATCCAAATGAGGTCATGGTATCTTTTGATGTTACATCCCTTTTTACTTCTATTCCCCAGGACCTGGCGATCGAGACAATCGAGCTGCTACAAAGCAAATATGATGAAACAGAGAATCGTCTTGGAAGCGCCCCAGTCCTTCAGCTCCTAAAGCTCTGTCTCAGGACGTACTTCACGTTCGACGGGACAATCTGCAAACAGGTGAAGGGCACACCAATGGCTTCGCCGATTTCGGGATTCATCGCCGAGGCGGTCCTGCAACGGTTAGAGTTGCTGGTCTTCCAACACCACAGACCGAAGTTCTGGATGATATCTTCGTCGTTATCGACCGGAATCAACTGCTAACATTCAAGGAATGCGGTCTTCCCGGACATACAATCTACGATGGAGGAGGAAGACAACAACCAGCTGGCCTTCCTGGATAGTCCTATGCCGCAAAGATTGCGGTGGGCTAAAGACCAAAGTGTTCAGGAAAGCGACAAATACGATACAAGTACTGAACTTCAACAGCAACCACCCAATCAGCTACAAACGCAGTTGTGTAAGGACGCTTTATCGGCGTGTCGAAACGCACTTCAGTGAGCCGGAAGACAAGATTGCCGAACTACAATACCTCCGACGGGTCTTCAAAGCCAATGGCTACTCGCGCAACTTCGTCGACCGGTGCATACGCAAAAGGGACGAAAGGCCTAACCGCACGGACACCAAATCTTGGCGGGCACTTCCGTATGTCAAGAACGTTTCGGAAGCTGTCGGCCGCCTTCTCGCACCACTTGGGGTTGGAGTGGCACACAGACCGGAGGCAACCATCAGGCGTCTGGTCATGAAACCGAAAGACCCACTGCCACGGCTAGAAACGTGTGGAGTCGTTTATCGGATCTGGTGCAGTTGCGGGCAAAGTTGCGGACTACGTCGGAGGAACCGAACGCGAATGGTCGAACACGCTGCAGCAGTGCGGAGAGATGACGCCAGTTCTCAAGATGCAGCTAATTCGACGAAATCCGACCACCCATTCGAGTCCGACAAGGACGAAGTTGTCTCTAGTTGTCGCGTGAGTCGCGAGCTGCTTGGGTCATGGTTTACTGGCCCACAGTCTATTAACAATTGCTGTGACCCTCCGCTTCCATCCTCGTTGCTAAGACTTTGCCCGGGCGGAGTAATTAGCCACGCGGGGAGTGTAGAGGCGGGCACTGTTCCCAACGCCAAGGTTGGTGGGTTAGATGGTCGAGCAGTCATCACACCCACGTCCAACACCCTTGATGAAATTGCAACAATTACTGACGCGAATTTCGGCCATCAAATAGTCATTACACCAAGTGAAACGATCTCTGATGAGGCTGGAGCCGTGAATATTCATAGGTATGCGTTAGCATGGACTGCATCCTATAAACACCACAGCCCCTTGTGCATGAACCACCCGTATCTCCTATTATCTCTGATAATGGGTTCGAGCAGGAACCCGAAACGTTAGGCTAATAAACCTCTTATCTCAGCGATCGTGTTCCCTTCCTCACAACGGCTTCCTGGGACTCGTCTCTTCGCTTCTATAAGTCCAATGTATTTTGAACGAAGTTTAAGTGTTCGTGCCCATTCTACTTGACCCATATCAGTAACACGTTTTAACAGTTTTACAATTTGGACACACCGTGCGTTGGAACTAGTTGGCAGCCGGACGAGAAAACGCCCGGTGTCGTGAGAGAGGCGTCCCGAGTCATAGGGGGCGAATGAGTCACAGCGCCTAGGACGAGAGCACGTCTGAATGGACTTTGATGTTTATTGGCCGCTTTGGACAGCCGCAATGGGCCGAGAACCAGACTGCCGCTAGTGCGCACGCGCGAGCGTTGCAACTAAGCAGCAGGCGTCAGGAGTAGAGCCATTCATACTCACGTCGTCAGTTGAAGTGCGCGATTGGCCCACAACTTAGTTAATCGCGAACATCGTCTGTTTTCAATAAAAGACTTTTGGCCGTGTCCAGGTCTAAATTAGGAGCGTACAATCTGCTCCAATTGTCCACATCGACCTCACCAGGGTTCCCTCAACATTCCATATTTGGGGACCACCAATTTAATCCTCTCGTAAAATGGTCAGGTTTGCGTTTTATACTCTTTCACTGTTATCACGAGTGCGCTGTTGTCCGTCCCTACTCCGATACGTCAAACGAATGCTACGGTTGCTTAATGCACTACTGGCCAGCTGAATGCATGAGTCTGGTGGTAGAAACTGCACACTAGTCAATCCAGGCTGAGGCAGTACGGTAGTTCATTTGAACGGGGCTAACGACCGGGTTAGTGTTCAGGTGTTAGCTGAGAGGACCAGAGCGTCTGGGCGCAAACGGGCGAGCACTTATTGTGTGCAATGTAGCTCATGGGTCAGAGACTCATGGAACGGGCTAGACTCTACAAAGGTATAAGATAGTTGTCATGGAAAGGAGAACAGTGAGTTTCGAGGACACTATCTTCGCAGAAACGATATATATTACAAATACCTCTGACATTTGTGAACCAACTAAGGACCTTTTTCTGTCTATAGGCGGGCCAAGAAATGTGCACAATCGTAGTGCAAATATCGATAAATATATTTTGGCTACTGAGATCGGATAATTACCACTTCTAACCCGTTCCCATATAACTGTACTGGCCCGACGAGAATTTATCGAAAGCTACGTATGATCGCCACCTCGTCTCCCAATGACCACTTTGTCAAGTCTTCCTCAATTTAGTTGGTACAGTCCAGCACGCATCAAGTCTCTTTCGTCTTACTGGTAGACAGTACCCTTTTTGTAAACTGCCCTTAATAAACAAGATGAAAAAATATATACCTATCCAGAGGACCTCTCAAGGCCAATTAAGACTAACAAGGATAAACGTCCCGATGTGAAGTTTCGCAGTGGCTGACATGTTGAAGTCTGTGTACATAAGGTTGACTTGTGTAATGTGGAAAATCAGGAACGGTCGTGCTTAAACTCTCTCTTTACGGGTATTGTCAAAAGAACAAAAAACAGCTAGGGCAGACTGAATTCCCTACAGAAAGTTTAGGGTAATTCGTCCTCCTGCGCCTCCACATTTTCATTGGTCTCCTTTCCCTTTTGCTTTTTGCCCTTTTTCTTTTTCTTCTTCTTTCCAGTATTATCTTCTTCCTCCTTGGCCTCCGGCAAAGTTTCTTCGACTGGCTGCTCTTGCGGTGGATTGGGTACGTCTTCAGCACCTTCAGCCTCCTCCTCCTTCTTCTTCTTTTTCTTACCGCCCTTGTTTTCTTTGCTCTTCTTTCTTGGTTTTTTCTCCTTCTTTTCTTCATCCTGCTGCTCCAGTTCTTCCGCCTCTTGAATCTCGAATGCCTTCTGGAACATTTCTTCTTGCTCTCTGAGGGCATCCGCGACTGACATCCTCCGCGTCCTCATACTCTCCGTGCTCTTCTTTTGCCTTCTGAAACAAAGTGCAAAAATATTCTTCTTTTCTGGCTTCGGCGGAGTCACTATGCTGTCTTCTGGCTGCCCCAAGTCCTCCTGGTAGTCATTACCACCTTGAACGTCTTCAATAGTGAGGACGGAGACCCTATGATCGCTAATAGTTGGCCTCTTAGACTGTCGTAACTGAGATATACGTGACGCGGACAACACTGAAAGAGAGGCAAATACCACAGATCAGGAAGGTACATAAAATCTGCTTCCTGAGATAATGATTAAATAAGGCGGAGGTGAATTTCGCGAACTGCCCTGATTCCAGAACGGGACGCTGACGATTACATTGTACTTTGGAGACCTCAACTGAAGCTTTCGCAGGTGACTACGTTGGAAATGGTAAAAAATAACTGCTAGGCAGTAGATATAGAAATGATTCTTCCTGGTTTAATTACCATTCGTCAGTCAGCCGTACACCAGAAGTAGATCTGAAGTGCCGGAACTGGAATTTGAACCTTTTGGTCACTGGGCATTAAGCCAAGTGCTCCTCTAGTCTGGGCATGGCATTTGACCGGCTGACAACTACGGATAAGTGAAGGCGTGATTGCTCGTCATTATAAGGTCGCGTGCGAGGACTCTAGAATGGAGTTCTAAGGACAAAAGAAAATCGTCTGCGTTCTGACCTTTAGTCAGAATAGGAGCTGCTCAGGCAAGTGTTAGAGTCTGTAGCCGTGACAGTTGACTCCGCTGATACGAGTGTAGGCGTTGATTACTCTGGTCGGCCCCTACCTGGCGCCTTATTCCCAAACATGACTCCAGCGCAGCGGCCACACCCAAGTAACCTGCCTCGAACGACGAACCAAACTGCATTCAGGCAGACAACAGGGCTTACCGTTAACGACTAAGAACTGCGTATGAGGCCTGGATCAGTTAGTAACGATGGCCCAGGCCTGTGATGCTACGGGTAGATAAGGTTTTATGCCTAGTCTGACTCGGGGTCTCGCGGGGGAAGCGACAACAGTTCCACGGGTAAATTGGACTTTTTCGGATTGCTTTCCTTGTAAACAGATGTATTGACCCATAGCAGAACTCGACAGTCGCCTGGAGTATGTAAGCAAACTGTGTTTAGTATGGTACGAGAGAAGGGGTTCGAAAAGCTGCTTCAAAAAGTGCTGCTAATCGTGCCGTCCTTAAGCAGGCCGTGACTTGTGGTCGTTGAACGGGCGCTGTAAACATATGACAACAAGTCCCTTCGCCGCCTTTCTACCGTTCTCGCCAAACTCACTTCGCTCACTCCGGCAACATAGACGGCAGATATCTTTTAAGACACTCCCATGGCCACTGGATTGCTGGTGGCATGACCAATAACCCGTTTAGAAGTTGACGTCGTCTCATTAAGTGAGGCCGCTTCTTGAAACAGAGCTGAAGAAGGTCGGTCAAGGTCACACCTTCCTTTGCAGTGGTTTCCACCATGAAGAACACCCCAACGCCGGAGTTGCTCTCGCCATCAGAAGTGGCCTCGTCCGGAAATTGCCCCTTGGAATCGACGACCGCCCAATCTTAATTAGTGGTCCACTTTGCTGGGAGACGCTCATTACAACTGCCAATGGCCGCGCCCTAACAAGTGCAATCGATGACGACGTGGAGGGATTATACGATGATCTTTATACCTCCTTCGTACCTGATCCGAAGGATAAGAAATGCCCTGGCCTCAATGACTTGAAGGTCGGAGTATGTAGAGAATACAGGACCAACGCACACCTTCTCTACAGCAGTCGCATGCAGGCCCCGGCACGTCTCTCCACAACCACTATCCACGATCTGCCTTTCGCTGACGACCGCGCACTCAACAGCAAGACCGAAGAAGACTTGCAACGGAGCATGGATCTCTTCTCCGCCGGTTGCGCCCACTTCGAACTGAACATTAGTAGGGGCAAGGCGGTGCTCATGCGTCATCAGTCATCGACCACTAAATACAATGTCCCTCGCATCCGCGTCAACGGCACAGAACTGAAGATCGTTGATACTTTCAACCACCTAGCCAGTACAATGTCTTGCTGCATCAGAGTCGGCGACGAAAAGATTCTTCTATTGTGATGTCGCCACCGGCATTCGCTGATCGTAAGGCCCAAAACGAGGCTACAAGAACACATTGAAGGATTCTCTTAAGAGATTGCACATCTATACAGAAAGCAGGGGAGAACTCGTCCAGAACAAGTTAACCTGGAAAAAAGAAGAGAACATTGTCACTGCCATCTTTGAAATAGATCTGACTGCTGCCGCCGACTGAGCTAAACGGGAGGCCAGCAAAGAACAAGTGCCTCCTCATTGCCAACTATCCTCCGCTTCTAACATTTCCGCACTGTTAACGCGCATTTCGCGTAAGATTAGGTCCCGTTGGACACCTTCCC